GTGTAACTGCTTCGTCCAACAGCATTGCAGTACTAAAGTGGATCATAATATCAACTTACCATTTTCAAAAAATTCACAATAAATTCCGACATGAGGGTTTTTAAAAGTGTTTACTATAATAAAGACAGTTTGATGAGCAATGAATATTCTTTTCGATAACTTCTTCCTCAAGATCTCTATAGCTACATATCAATCCTGTTCAATCACAGAATAAGTGTCTCAACAATAAGAATTTATTTTTACTACAGTCAATCAATAATACAACTCAGAACACCCAACAATGTAGGTGATAAACCTGCAATGGATGAAAAACTAATAATCCCCAAGCTTTATAAAGGAATAGGTGTAGTTCTTCTTGTGAAAATGAACTATGTAAAGAGATATGAAGAATAGATCAAAATTTCAAAAACTGAGGAAACAAAAGGATTCAAATAACAAGATGAATTATGAATTGACTTAGTCTTTGAAGAAACTAAACAAGCAGCAATATAAACCTTTCTAGCTTACATGACAGAATCGAATCTACTGGTACATTCATGCCAAGACTATACAGACTGCCTAATATACATAAACCGGGGATACCACTAATACCTATTCTTGACAGGCAAAATCCATCCTACTGTGGAGTAGCGAAATGGCTGGTATCTATTTTGAAGCCATTATATGCACAGAAAGTCAAGTATAGCGTGAAAGACATTTAAATTCCTGGACAAAATGATGAATGCTAACATTAAAGATAAAATTATGATAACATTAGGTGCAACATCTTTATTTACCAATGTCCTACTCATGGAAATAGTTGACTACATATGTGAGTAGGTGAGTGAGACAGTTGAATTTTGAATTCAAGTGGATGTCCTTAAAGAATGTTGATATCGAATTGAGGAATTCAACAGCCAAATGGATCGGGTCGCGAAGGACTGGCCATCAGAATCCATATTAGCAAACATTTTCCTTACTAACCAGAAAATGGTCCTCTGAATCAACTTTTTAGAAAGTTTTTTTTCATTTTACTGTAGATATGCGAAACAGCTAGAACAAGTCTGAGATGCCAATCAATTTCCATGAAATACACCCAACCATAAAATTCATATTTCAGTAGGAATTACCGCATAAGGTGATAGTATTTCTGGACGTTCTTACTTTAAGAAGACCAGATAGACAGCTGAAGAGTTTATATCAGAAAACACATGGACGGGACGATGTATCCACTTCTCTAGCTCTGTCCTCCTCTGATACAAACGAAATCTATCAAAGACCCTTAGTTACAGCATAAGAGCTATATATTCAGAGGATACGGTCGATGAAGAATTGAAAATCTTAGACAGCATACTAACTGAAAATGGCTTTTCAGATAAGTTCATAAAAAGCACACGACGATGAAAATGGAAAATAAATGTACTTCAACTATGAGTACGTAACTGCTTTACATAAAATTGCAATCCAGAAGGGAAACGCCATGTGAGATACCAATTTTAGAAGATCCGAAATCTATTCAGTACGGGAAAATTGCAGCTTGTATTTCTCACACGCCCAGTTATGTTACCGACACTGAGAGATCAGATACCTACATTGGCTGCTCCTTGTTGTGTTTATGGATTCAACTGCTCCCGTAGAGCCAGTTATGCTGATGTTCATGCTTGTGAACACCTCCCAACACATCTAGATAAAGGTGTTGTGAAAAATGTAAATAGCTCGATATTATCTCACCTCTTTCAAATAAACTATACAGAAAATATGAATCAGTCATTTTCAGTCATTTACCGCATCGTCATTAATTTATCAAAAGCTACTAGATAACGAATATTTCAAATCGCAGAAACCGTGACTATTCGGCTTGAACACCATGAATATTGCATGCAAGGAAAACAGTTGCAGCCATTACTAATACCTTAGCCAGCTTTGGAATGAGCAGCTCCCTGGCATAATTAATTTTGACAAACCCCGTATCGTTTTATCACCTATATTACTGATTATTTTGGATTAAATTAACGATTATCTGTCAGATAACATCTCACTGTTGTTGACACGCACTTATTCTCTGATTGAGCAATATAGATATATAACTGTAGAACGTGAGGTAGAAGTTATGAAAAAAAATACTTTTTGTTCATCGAACTATTGTTTGAACTATAACTGGGATTTTCGAGGTACTACAGCAAAGATCGAAATTTTGCATATGGCGTGGATGAAAATCATGCTAAGTGTTTGCTAAGATTTTATCTCTGGCTGATATCTACTGGAAGATCATTGAAAACTAAGCAGAGGTAAGTCAATATTCCATACTGGTTGAAGACGTCTCAGAAACATATCACTTCAGTCTCCAAAAGAAGCTATTTCACGAGTTCTAGACCTGATGATTAGAGAATTCCCACCCAGTCAGTGACCTGATATATGAGTCAACTCACAATACGAGGTGGTCATAACAAAGGTATTTTGATGTGGTATTGTCCTCAGTGCCGTCCTGGCTGGCTTCCGAGGTCAGAAATTCACTTTGATGATCTGTTGTGAGAACTGCTGATAAGATCCAACATAGAATGAGATAATAGTTGTTATGCCAATGTGTCAATTAGTTGTAGAAGTCATTTGCGAGACGATTCCTCACAAAACACCTAAGGGAACACGAGGATTACTGATTTCACTAAATAGTGTCAAAACATTTCTTTCCTAATCAGTTCACTTTGGTTAGCTCCCTCTCTCTCTTCCTTATCGGAATTTTCTTCTGCAGGGCTCACAATACCACTGATCGAGTAATTAGCATTATTTGATCAGAAAATCTACTTTCCCTCAGAGGACTACGACTGTGTGGCTTCTTCGCATGGATGTTGATCTATGCTTTAAAAGACGAATACAAGCTAAGTACTCCGTACTCAATCAGTCGCATAATCTTTACAACTTTCTAACAGATTGTATAAAAGAAGACTGTGAAATCACAAGACGGTCTTTTTCATACTTTTACAAACCAAAATCTCGAGCAGATAAGTGAAAATCACCAAGAGATGACAAAATATGACCACTGTACAGTTTTTTTTCATTATCCACGGGTTCGTCATACCTCTAGATAGACACTAAACAAGTCGATTAGAAGCAGTAAATAAGTAAAAGGTAGAAAAAGTATGCTCAATTTACTAGGTAAACAGAGAGCAATAAAAAACCCTTTTTGAAGCGGATCAACAAAGTACACTCAAAAGTTTTTGACTTAGTTTGTCAGTAAATATTGACCAATATGTAAAGATAGAAAGTTACAAAAATTTTCTAAATAATAAAATTTCAATTGAATTTTTAAAGGCTTTATGCATTGTCTTTTGTCGAAGACTGAGCTATTGAAAAAGAAAATAACTTATTGAAATACCTGCAGTTAGATATTTTGTATCATTTAAAACTTATAATATATTAAGGTCTTCTGACTTTAGACTGCAAATTTTTGTTCCATGTGCTGAGTCTGCTTTGGAAGTTGCAATATAAGTCTAGTTGTGGATTAATAGAGTTTGCATATTTCAGACAGATGAAGAAAAATACACTTATTTGTCACTGGAAGATAACCGATTTGTTGCTATTTAGTGCTGATTAAATTCTATTGCTCATTTGCACTGTAATCACCAAGCGATGTGCTTGAATTGATTTTAATTGGTTGGAGGCAATTGACAGGAAGCCTTAACCGCGTGCTTTTCGTGCTTTCGGACACTCGTCATTAAGGTGTATCTGAAACCTCGAGGGATATCTGAGGGATATTAGTCCCAGTCAGGTTGTAGACATGTTTTTCTAAGGAGCCTACAAATACGAAACTCTGGTCCACAGCCTCCTGATGACTTTCAAGGGAGACTAACACATCAACTCTCCATCTACTGCAAATAAAAGCAGACTAACCTACATTTCCATACCCATCGACAAAGGTTTATAACAGTTCCAGGACTACTAACTGGGACCTATCGATGAGGTTCACAGGTTTGAATATTACAACAGATTGTAGGTTTCAGAATCATACTTTCCTTTCACTGTTTCTGAATAACTGCTCCTTTGTAAATCAACTATCAGGTCGTGCAATCGGAAAAAATAAGATTTTTACTCAGAATCTTCCAGATGCTTATTTCCTAATATGAAGGAGTTTAACCTGAAGAGTAGCAGTGCAATACTGACATTTATTTCCTTCCAATGCTTTGCACAAAGAGATTTTCGCTTAGATGATTCAAAAGGGTAAGTACAATGATTATCTTATAAGTTTCTTGCATATGAAGCTGGCGTTCGTTATGTCCTTAATAATACACGTTCACCTGATTGGATGAATTACAAAAGGCTTTCAGACAGTCTCTACTTCTTTTATTTTCTATAAACTGGGAAACTTCCTGCAGGTTTTTCCCTCTCAGAGCTGCTTACTTTAATCTAGAAGTTCACTTCATCATTCTGGATAACATTAACAGCACAAAATGCAGAAAGTAAGATTTACAATCGGAATGTTCAACACTGAGAATGCAGTACCGCGAAAATCAATGACCTTATTTAAAAATATTTCCCGTCACCTGCGAAGTTATCAGGGTAATTTAAGGTGGCATATATCCGATACTATGTACTTTAAACAAGTCTTGTGCATCTTGTGAATTATCATAAAATATCTTCTTCACTTACTAACAGAAACTTGACATGGATACTTCATTCCGTTAAACCCTAAGGGTAGTCAATTTTACATAAAAGCCATTTAGTTTAGCAAGAAACGCATGATGCTGTGGAGTGAAGAACTCGTACGAGTTTTTCTCTAACTAATGAGAGCACATGGTATTCGTTTAGGAAAACAATAGCTTCATTGAATGATCACAAATGAGGAATATACATGAGAATGCCTAGGTGGTTTCCCTTTTCTTAAAAGAAATTCATGTTGAAGGAATTCCTCCTGAATGATGTCAAATGATATTTTGAAATATTTTTGAAGAACTCCACTTCATCAACATAAAGGTTCTGCTGATGGCCTCATTCATGCAAAGAAATTACGTGTTACGAACTTTTAGGATACTATTCATCGTGTCCTTCAGAAACTTCATCTCATTGATGGTGTTTGTAAGTTACTAATAGCAACAGAACAGCTTCCACATAGACAAAAAAGTAGGGTTTCCACCTTGACAAACTTTGAAGAATATCTCAGTTCCAGAAAATTCATACAACTAAATATCAAAAGTAGTGAAACTCATGGCTGTAGTTAATTTTGTGTAAACACTTTGTAGAGGACGAAATGAGATACCATTACTATGATATTTACAAGAAACAACACTTATCAGAGTTGATATAGACAGTTCAACAAATATTCCTTGAAAGTACCCTACCTAAAGCACTGTAATGCCCAAATGATTTCTGCCTAAAATCCCAATGTCCAGAAATGAGTTGTGTTAAATTTCCTCTTGGTAATACACTGTTAAATACAGTCTCCTTAACCTGCCTTATGATAGCAATAATAAAGGCAATTAGGAAGTTTCCATCCCTTCTCCGTCTTTAAAATAATCGTTCAGTCAATCATGAATGCATTCTTACTCATCTGTATACGTCGGGAGTCGATTGCTACGAAGTCCTTTGCATAAGTATCATGGTTGTTGGCACTCACCAACAAGGTCTATCTTCAACCCTAAGGAGATGTATCCACTCCCAGGGGTCCGAACTTTCATCAGTTCCCGCTAAATTCAGAGAATCTATCACTATCCTATTCAAGTCAAGACTGACTCCCTTCAGAAATACATTATACGTGCTAACAATCTGAGTACATTGTTCCCTCTCAAGAGGAGCTTTCGTAATCATGCGTCGTCACATTTACTCAAAAAGGTGCTAGCTGGTTTTAACTTTTTAGAATGTCTTGTCTCATACATGCATAGGAAAATCAGTATCCCCTTCTCCAAAATACAACCATTTCCCCCAAATAAATAATCATTTATATATCTCAGTGAACTAACTGAAACTGTCTAGTATAATAAACTAAAGCCAAGAGTTGACACAATACAAGTGACTGCATTCTGACAGAAATCTTCAGACATAGTCTCTAACCTACACACTTCAATAAGAGTCATTTCTTAACTTGAAGAATGTAATCATTCCTCTAGAATCTGTACATACATCACTGATCATTTGGCTCAAAATGTCTGACATACTAGTTTATTTGTTTATCACCTGAAGTACCCCTAACTCCTTCCATTTCTGTTACAAACAGGAGTACTAAAGGAAGTCTATCTCACAAAATATTAAGGGTTTTCAAGAGGCTAAATTATACGATCGATATTGTGTTTACCATACAACAGTGGTTATTTCTGTTGATCCATATTCTGGTTCAGCTAAATAGTTGCAGTGATTTTGTACGACTATAACGGAGATCTCACTCACCATTAACGTTAAATTATTATGTCTGTTTTGTGGTAAAAGCTTCATATAAAGAAAAAAAGGCTGTTTTAACGAACAATAATGGCATATGAAGAAAATATGCCAACAATTTCCCTAAGTATACTGTCTGTGAGGTAAAACCAAAGATGATTTAACAAATTGTGACTTTCTGAAGCTTCTTCAGCCTATTGAGATTATTCCAGTCTTTCTTAACTTCTGTACATAAATTTAAACTGAACTATGAGGAGAAATGTATTCCTAAGTTACTTCTTCCTATTTATTCTTCTGTCTAGAATTTCCACTTTTAAGTGACCTGACGTGCATTTTGAATCACTATAGAGCATCATTATATTAGAAAGTAATTAAGCATAGTCTTTTAACCTGCTAATCAGGCTTATCCTGTGTTTTATCGCCAAACCTTTGCTAAATGCTTCACTACCTCCACAAATATCATCAGCATTATGAGTATGCAGCCACTCAAATGTCTGAACTGTTGCTCTATATCTTACCTCCACAAAGATTAACAAACTGAAGCAAGAAAGTGCGCAGAATGTCTACTGTGTTCACCTCCTTGACATACAAGGCTCTAATGTAGCCGTTTATTTCATAGCACTAACCACTAACTGAAATCTATCAGTCGTGTTGCAATGTGGACACAAAGCTGTGCAGTGCAATACTGTGGTGTACTGCATTTCTGTGCTACATGTTGGCGGTTAATCATAGTCTAGTCCTACAGGAGGTATGTCATGACACCTAAGCAGCTCAGTGATCAAATCTTCGTCTTCAACTCTGAGCGACTCAGTTCCAAATCAATGAGGGAACATCCATTTTTCCAGTGACTTCAGATACACCCTACTGATGATTGCTAACAAGGGCAAAACCTAGGTCTAGGGCTACATGCCGACTGGCCTTCAGCGTTATATTGGTCTTGGCAACTAGAAGAGGAATCTAAGACGCGTGTTTCGTCCTATTTGGGGCTTGTCGGCTGGATGCACCTGGACCCCAGTGAGTGATGTTGTTCCCACTGAGGCTAGAACCCAGTACCCATCTTTGCCATCTAACATCAGAGTGGACAATCCTGTTGAATGAAATCAATATTATAGCGAGTTCATAGTGGTAAATCAACGGTCTTCTCGGATGGATATTTGGGGGTGTTTCACAGAAACACATACTCAACTCAGATTTTTGTACTTCGAGAAATATCTTCATTTTTTATGGGATACTGATGATGTTTCCGATATGTAGACCAACACCACGAAGTCCTAATTATACCTTGCACAAAAGTGCAAACAGATACAAGACTCTCCCTAATTATCTTCTCTAAATATCCAATGTGTTAAATAGCATGAGTCAATCAGGAAAAATCCGTAGATGTGGGTTACGTGCTTTGTGATAATGACCAACATGGTGTATTCACAATACTGAGTAATTTCATGTTCCCCTAACGATTCAAAATTATGTCAGTCGGTGCTGAGGACAGAAACTCTACGCCAAATTAATTCAGATCACAACTGATGGCCTACAGGACCGAGTGTGCACATGAACTAGTTTACAGATGGTAACCGATGTAGTAGGAAATGTAGGTCAAAAGCTTTCAGATGACTAACTGCTAACATTAAGCATCAGGACACAGTGAAATGTAGAGTCGCATAACCGATATCTTTCTATCTGTTCCAAACACCTGGGACATGTCAGTTATGTTGGTTACCACTAGATAAACAATTCACACATTTTAACGTTGTTTGACTTCTAGTAAACACCAGAGTTTTTTCTAAAAATTTTATAGGCATTTATTATTGGTTTTGCATTGTTCATTACTCACAACATTTAAGTTGCAATACCCAAAAAGGTATATTAATGTTATTCGTTGATGAAAATGTTCATATATGCACATAGAATTATATATATATATATATATATATATATATATATATATATATATATATATATATATATATATATATATATATATATATATATATATATATCACGTTCATTCTGCGGTTCACAAACAAATATATTAATTAAGTGCAGTCATAATTCAATATTTCTAATACTAGTTCTGTAAGCATGCACAATTATGTATGTGCTGTACAATTCATTCTATCTTTTAAAGATCGATAAGTCATCTTATTTGTGTCACCATTACTATTAGCGGTAATAATAATAATATTTTAGTGGTAATAGTGAGTGACATCTTTTGCTCAAACTGTTCTTCCAACTGAGTTACAACTTACAGATATCAACAGTGCTCACATGTGGATTTGATTAAAAGCCTTCACTTCACCACAACAGAGATTGTTGGATACATAATGAACTGACTGTCATTAAACAATAATTGACACAATGATTCTGCTGAAAAGGGTAAGCGTAAATGGATAACCAGTGCTTATAATTCTTAAGTTTATGAACTCGTGAAATGGTTAACAAAAAAACCGACCAAGGCGGAAATTGCGACGAATGTGTATTCCTCAATTAGACATAATTCCCATCAGCATACAAAGGAAAAAGACAAACGCTATATTAAATAACCAAGTTCATGAGAAGCAGAAGATGAAAGAGTGCGGTGCAGGGATGAACAACGAAAAGAGGAACTGAACACAACATATAAAACACTACACTGGAAAAAGAAGTGAAGAAGAGTGCGCACAAAGACAAAAGACACTTCCACAACACGCTGGCAAGTGGAGCAGATCAGGCTGCATGTAGCACAGACAGACAGAGACCTGACAACATTATATCAAATAACCAACCAGGTCACTTACTATCTGAGAAGAGATCAACTCAGATGAAGCCAATGAAAGATAGTGAAGGAAACTTAGTTACCATCACAGAGGAGAAACAAAGGAAACGATGAGTTGACCACTTCAAAAAACTCTCAAATCGACCACCACCACCTACTACTCTTTCAAAAATACCACCAGCAACCGCAGAACCACCACTGAACACAAATCCTCCAACAAAACCACAACTGAAGTCCTGAACGCCATAAATTTGCTGAAATCGGCGAAAGCAGCAGAACCAGATGGAATTCCACCACAACCACTGAAAACAGATGCAGAGACAACAGCAGCAGACATGCTCACACCACTACTGCAAAAGCTTTGCAAGGAAGGAAGGCAGGAAGGAAGGAGAGAAAGGTACCTGCCAACAGATTGGAAGGAAGACTATCTTGTCAGACTCCCAAAGAAGGTGGACGTAAGCCTTTGCAAGAACTGATGAGGAATCATATCCACACTCTATCCACACCCACCCAAGCTAAAAATTAGGCCGCATCATTCTGGAGAGACTGAAGAATCCTCTGCATTCAGAATTACGACCAGAACAGGCTGACTGGCTGGCTGTCAACTAACCAACGAAGCAAGAACCCATCACCCAACAAATATGCAGAATAAAGTGGAGACGGATTGGATTGAGTATACACTGAGGAGACCATTCGAGGGCTAACTTTTTGTGCTCTGTTACTCTAATCGACCCTGGTCGACTACTCTCACCTGTGTATTTGACCTCACAATGATGACAAGGGATTTGGTAAACCAGATAATTTTGCTCAGTTGCATCGATACGATGTATTAACCTACAAAGCTTGTTTCCAAGACGGTTTGTTGGCTCAAATGCGTCTACTGTGTTACCATACAAGGAAGGTACCTCATAAGTATTCGGAAGAATTTTCAGTAAGGCTGCGATTAAGGTGGCAT